GCCCTAGAAAAATCAGGAATGCTTTCATCGCTTAGGTGTGGATCTGAAACACCTGCCAGTTCTTGTTTTTTTTTACGCCCTCGACTTCCTTGTCTGGAGAGTTTTTAGTCACCGTGTTGTTGTGCCAGCCGTCCCGAGTTTGTCCCTTGCCCGCTTTCTTATCTGCACTTATGGAGAAAAAGTAAATATTATAAATACTTGGCTTGAGTGTGGGTTTCTGCTAATAGGGGTGTTGTAGAAAGTGACCTGGGAAACGGGGACTTCCTCTTTATTAAGAAACAGGAAAAGGGGCCTGGTTAAATCCTTTCATGGTGGTTAAATCTCTTGACCTAGCACAAACCTTAGATCAGTGGTTCTCAACCTTTTTAATGCTGTGACCCCATAATACAGTTCCCCATGTTGTGGTGACCCCCAAGTGGGTGTGGCCACCAATAAGAGGGAGTAGAACAGCTAGGGAAAAGGGAAAAAAATGGCGGACAGTGTGGTTTGGCGACCCCCATGAAATGGTCATTTGACCCCAAATGGGGTCCCGACCCACAGGTTGAGAACCACTGCCTTAGATTCAGGTAGTCGTTTAGTGACCATTGGAAGTTACAACATCGCTGAAAAAAAGGGGACTTAGGGCCGTTTTCCGCACTTAAGACCGTCGCAGCTCCCTGGTTCAAATTCAGACGCTTGGAAACTGACTCGTGTTTACGACGGCCGCAGCGTCCCGGGGATCCTGCAATCCCCTCTTGTGACCGTCGTGACAAGCAAGAGTTAATGGGGAAGTCGGATTCGCTTCGCCCCGCGCCTTAAATTGCCTAACAATGAGAAGAATTAATCAGGGGAACTGCTTGCCTCCAGAAGGAGGTTTTTAAGAAGAGACTGGACAGCCATTTGTCTGAAATGGTATATGGTCTCCTACTCGAGCCCAGGGGGGTTGGACTAGATGACCTCCAAGGTCCCTTCCAGCTCTATTCTGCATTGACCGATTCCCCCCTCCTTGTTCAGCAGCCCTCCCTTTTTGTGCATGCGCGTTTGTGTATGTGTCTCTGTGTGTGTGTGAGTATGAGTGAGCTCTTTGCAGAGATAGGAAAATCAAGCAGAACTACTGGGGATTAACATGTAAGGATGAATAAAATCTTCTAGGCCTCTTCTCTTCTCCCCCCCCCCCAGACACCCCCCCCACTCAAAGCTCTGTGACTTCTTTTGTCCTGGCCACTGCTGGCACAGAGGCTCCTCTGTTCTCCCTTTTGCGGGTCCTTCAAGCGCCCCCCCCCTCAAAAAAAAAAAAAGCCTTTGTGGTGCTTCTGTGCAAAAGCTTTCCAAGCCCACAGATAGACTGTTCTCTTTTTTTTTTTCTTCCTCTCTGTCTCTCCTAAATTCCACTTTTTTTATTTTGATGGGGATGGGAAGCAGCTTGAGAAAAGGGGGGGGGGGTTGTCAGCAGGACTTTGGGGAGAGGGGGGAAAAAGATTTATAGCAGGCTGGTCTTCCTCCGAAGAAGGGAGACAGGGAGTCTGGGCTGGGAAGCGATCGGTCAATCTCCGTCCACCCCCCCACCCACCCTTGCCTGGTTCCCAGCCCCCCCCCCTATCTTCTTTTCAGACTTTATGGGAGCAGCCCAGAGGTAAACAAGGCGGGTCTGGTGCCCGGGAGGGCCTTGACTTTGCTTAAGGGGGTGGGTGGGTGGGTGGGGGGTCTGTGGTTTGTTGGAAAAAAAACAGATCTGCTTTTTTGAGCAGGCCGCTGTCCAATATCTGCTGGATAAGGCTGAGTCAGGGAATCCCATTTTGCTCTGGGTTCAAGTTCTGGGAGTGGAAGTCCAAATCTCTTAAAAGGCTGGGGGATTCTGGGCGTTGAAGCCCGCCTGTCTTAAAGCAAGCTGGTTGGGGAATTCTGGGAGCTGAAGTCCACCCATTTTGAGGCAGGCTGGCTGGGGAATTCTGGGAGTGGAAGTCCACAAGTCTTCAAAGTTGCAAATTTTGGAGACCCCCCCCCCTGTCAGAAGCCCGGCTGATGGGTTTGGGCAAGGTTATTTGAAGCGACCTGGTTCCCACATTGGCTGGCTGCCGAAATCTGCCTGGGGGTGGGGGGGGAGACATTGCCGGACCAAGGAGACCCCCCCTTGCAACAGCCTCACAGCCTGTCCCTCAGCTTGCAGATCCCCCACGTAGCACCCACCGAGAGCCTGCAGATGTGGCTGAGTCTTTGAAAAACATCTGGCTGGCTGACCCGGGGCGTTCTTTCATTTCGACACTGTCCTGTTGCACGTTCGTTTGGGGAGGGGGTCTGGAAACAGATCTCCAGCTGCCTTTTGGGCTTGTGTGGGCTTGTGTGATAGCATCGATGATGATGCAAAATTAGCCGAGGGATCCTGTGATAAAATCCCTTTTAAGTCCTGCTGATAAAGCTTGGCTTAAAAGATGCTTAAAAGAGAAACAATCGTTTTCAAGCTTTGCCAGACAGATTCTGCTGGGGATTCTGTTCCCTTGAGTTTGGCTTCTGCTTGAGCAGGTTTCTAGTCCCCATGATTTGAATTTGCTAGCTGGGGAAATACTGGGAGTTGTGGTCTAGGCATCTTAAAGTGGCTAAGCTTAAGACCACACCTGGAATGCAGCATCCTAGCTTTGGTGACCACATTACAGAAAAGAGGGTTGAGATTAAAGCTGACAGGCGGAAAAAGCCGAACATCCTGACATTGCTGGGGTTGACAAGCAGCCTGGCATGGAAATTTGCAGATGTCTGAAGACGTTGCCTCTTACCAGGTCACCACAATGTTTCGGTGCCAGGCTGTTAGTGGGGAACACGCAGCTGTGCCAACGTCATGCACCATCCAGCGTGGGGCTAAGAGGTCCACTCTGCATCTAGCATCAGTTTCATCCTATTATCCTGATCAAATCAAATCAAAGCCCTATTCTATTCTATTCTATTCTATTCTATTCTATTCTATTCTATTCTATTCTATTCTATTCTATTCTATTCTATTCCATTCCATATTTCCTATTTCTATTCTATTCCATATTTCCTATTTCTATTCTATTCTATTCTATTCTATTTTGATTGATTGAAATGATCTAGGGCTGCCTGCTTGAGCAAAGGGTTGGACTAGAAGACCTTCACGGTCCCTTCTCCCAACACTGTTATAGTTTACATATTTCAATCAAAATAGAGCTGGAAGGGACATTGGAGGTCTTCCAGTCCAACCCCCTGCTCAAGCAGGAGAGCCTAGCTTAGACTATTTCAGACAAGGGGCTGTCCAGTCTCTTCTTAAAAACCTCCGGTGATGAAGCACCCACAACATCTGGTGGCAAGCTGTTCCACTGGATACTCTCAGGAAATTCCTCCTTAGTTCCAGGTTGCTTCTCTGCTTGATTAGTCTCCATCCGTTGCTCCTTGTCCTGCCTTCAGGCACTTTGGAGAAGAGAGGTGGGCCCTCCCCCCTTCTTTGGGGCAGCCCCTCTACTCTTTCTTTTCATTCAGCCAGACATACCCAATTCCTGCCACCTCGTATGGTTTAGTCTCCAGTCCTCATCGGAGGGTGCCCCTTCCTTCTGGAGCCCCTCCCTGCGGACTTGGCTCTGGGGCAGCGCTGGCCCTGTTCCCACGCCTTCCCGGCTGGCTGGCGCTCTCACATTCCTTTGCCCCCTCCAGTTGTGGCTGACTTCCTTTGTCTGCTTGCAAGGAGGCTCCTTGGGGACGGCAGCAGGGGGGGGGGCTTCTAGAACTGGCTCAGGAAGCAATTTTGCAAACGGGGGGGCAGTGGAGTTTCCCCAAGTTTTCTGCTGGATTCCCATAAGGGGGAGGGGGTAGGCTCTGGATGCCAGGAGCGGTCTTATCACACACACACAACCACAACCACAGTTGCCCTCTTGAGGGGTGACATTCCCAGCAGTTGAAGTCCAGCAGATTCCCTCCCCCCACTCCCCAAATAGTTGTGAAGAGCTGCGGAAATTTTTTCTTAAAAAAAGAAAAACACCAAAAAAAAACAACTCCCTGGCAAATGAATGAAATTGCAAATCGGGGTCTGCAGTTGCTTGGCCCTGTCCCATTGTTTCTCAGTCTTGGTTTAAGAGGGGTGGGCTTCAAGTCCCAGAATCCCCCCAGCCAGCCTGCTTTAAGAGGGGTGGACTTCGACTCACAGAATCCCCCAGCCAGCCTGCTGACTGGGGGAATTCTGGGAGTGCAAGTCCACTTTCTTAAAATTGCCAAGTCTGCCTTTAAAAAAAAACTAAGCGATCTCTGGATTTAGCTCCCAAAGCAGCCAACACCTATAGCAACCGGTATGGTCTTGAAGCAACGCCAGCCTTGCAAGGGAGACCCCCCTGTCTTCTCCTGTCCACCAGCTGGCCAGGCTGGTGCTTCTTTCCAACCTGCCCCGGGGTCAAGGGTGCTGCAGCAGATCAGCGGCTGAGACCTTGTCACCCTCAGCCCAGGACTCTCCCGCTGGGAAGGTGCCTGTGCTAAGAGCATCTGAAGATTGGTGGGGATTAAGCTGGGCAGCAGATGGTGGCCTGGATGGGTGCCCGCAGCTCTGGAAGAGCAGGGGGGCAGGGGGAGGAGAAGAAGGGAGGGAGGAGGAGGAGATGGATGGAGAAGAGGAGGGGCAGGAGAAGAAGGGAGGGAGGGAAGAAAAGAAAAAAGAGAAAGAAAGAAAGACTTAGGAACGTTTTTTCACTCTTACGACCGTCGCAGCATCCCCACGGTCATGAGATCAACATTGAGACGCTCGGCCGCTGACCCATACTTACGACACTTGCCATGTCCTGGGGGGGGGGGTCGTGCAATCCCCTTTTGGGACCTTCTGACCAGCCAAGCCAAATTCACTTAACAACTATGGCAGGAAATGTTGTCAAATGGAACGAAACTCGCTTAGCAACAGAACATTTCGGCTGAGGACGAGAGAAAGCCGCCCACCTGGGCCGGGTCCGTATGAGCCCAGGGCCGTAAAGTGCTGGGGGCTCTTTGCTCTGTTGGGGGGTAATTTATGACCTGATCTCCCCCCCCTCCCTCCCCAGGCTGAAGCCGAGGTGGCGTCCTTGAATCGGCGCATCCAGCTGGTTGAGGAGGAGCTGGACCGGGCGCAGGAGCGGCTGTCCACGGCCTTGCAGAAGTTGGAGGAAGCCGAGAAGGCTGCGGACGAGAGCGAGAGGTAGGTAGAGGAGGGGGGCTTGCTTGGCATGCCAGGGGGGCTTCTGAATGCCTTGGAACAGGGGATCCCTGATTTAAAACTGTAATAGCGCCGGGTTGTAAAGCAGGTCATCACACAATTGTCCTGTCTCTTTCTTCCTTTCTTCCCTCCTTCCTCCCTCCCTCCTTTACGTCCCTCCTTCCTTTCTCCCTTCCCCTGTCTATTCCTTTCCTTCCTCCCTCTTTTCATTCCTCCTTCCTTCCTTCCTTTTCCTCCTTCTTTCCTCCCTCTCTCGTCCTTCCTCCCTTTCTTCCTTCCCCCCTCCCTCCCTCCCTCCCCCCCAACAGGGGCATGAAAGTCATTGAAAACCGAGCCCTGAAGGACGAGGAGAAGATGGAGCTGCAGGAGATCCAGCTGAAGGAGGCCAAGCACATCGCTGAAGAAGCCGACCGGAAGTACGAGGAGGTGGGTGGCCTTCCGTCCTGGCAGCCTTAGTTTCTTTTGCGGAAATTTCCCCCCTGGGTCATCTGGGATTTCGGGTCTCTAGCCCGGTGTCTCAGCCCCCAGACCGAGCTGGCTCCGTCGTTTCGCTGTTGACTCTCTTTGCAAACCCCTCGTGATCCTTCTAGGTGGCTCGTAAGCTGGTGATCATTGAAGGAGATCTGGAGCGGACCGAGGAAAGAGCCGAGCTGGCTGAATCGTGAGTGGGCAGCTTCTTCAGCATGACCCCCCCCCCACTCTGCCCTTCCCCGCATGGATTGCTAACACCAGCGGCTTTTGCCTCTTCGCCCCCCCCCCATTCCCAGTTAAATGAGGCCTGAAGCTGGAGAGGATGGAAGGGGACAGAGTTGGACGTTGCTCCTTCCTGTTCTGTTGGTCCTTCCGTCTTGGCCTTTCCCGGAAGGACGTGGTGGGACTGACCGCTGGACGCAGCGAGATGTCCCCATTCAAAGCCTACAACCCCATTGTGTTGGTCACTCCGACAGGGCGGGCCTCGCATTCCCCCGAGCACCTGAACACCGGCTGTTAAAATTCACCCCACCACCCCACTTCCTGCTTCGATTGAGCGGTCTTCTTCTCTCCCCAAACCAGAGGTCTCCAACCTTGGCCATTTGAAGACCTGTGGACTTCAACTCCCAGAATTCCCCAGCCAGGTCTCCAAACTTGGCCAGTTTAAGACTTCTGGACATCAACGCCCGGTATCCAACTGAATTCACCAAGAAACAAAGATGTGTATCCAGTCTGGCTGGCTGGGGAATTCTGGGAGTTGAAGTCCACAAGTCTTTACAGTGACCAAGGTTGGAGACACCCCCCCCCTCCTGCCCCAGACTGCTGGTTGCATGTCTGAACAGGCGGGGAGGATAGGTGCACCAACAAGGGCTGCGTTAAGCCACTTTCCACACAACCACACCTGGAGTTGCGGCTTTCGTTTTGACACACACATACGCCCCCGTTGAGCTTCTTGGCCTCGTGTAATGAGTCCCTTCTCCACCCCCCACCCCATCCACCCCAAACCCCGTGGCATGCACCCCTTGAATCTGCTCCCCGCCCGCCAAGCATGTGTTGTTGTGACCAATTTTTTTTTATTGTTCCTTTTCTCCCTTTTTTCCTTGCCTGCCTGCCCTTTTACGGGCTGCTTTGCTTCTTTTTCCCCCGTTGTCGTTGCCGTCGCCGCGGCTGCTCCTTTCCGGGCCCCCACCCCTTCGAACCCGCGCCTTCCGGCCGTCCTTAAACCAGCCGTTTGCGAGAAATGAACAAGCAGAACCAGCTGATGGATCAGAACTTGAAGTTCCTTTCTCAGGCTGAAGAAAAGGTACTAACCTCTTTCCTTCTTTCTCTCACTTTCCCGGAGCGCCGAAGCTCTTAAAATTCTCGTTTTCTCCCCGGCTCTTTTGTGCACGTCTCTGCTTTCCTCCTCTGCTCGCTGCCTTGGATGCTTTACGGGCTCGGCTCGCCCCGATCTTGCTGTCTCCAGTCCGCCTTTTCCTCCTTTTTAATTTTACATTTTTGCTTTTCTGTCGTAGCTGGTTTGGGCCAGGCAGCCCCCCCCCACCAGATTCTGGCACAAGCGGGCATCTTGGTACCCATCCTTGCAGCTTGTAAGCTGTATATCCTGGTCTTCTGGCCCTGGTGCCCACATAGAGTTACTCCTTGGGACTTTGGCTGTCTTAAGCCATTTGTCTGGAATGGTATAGGGCTTCCTGCCTGAGCAGGGGGTTGGACTAGATGACCTCCAAGGTCCCTTCCAACTTTATTATTATTATTAAGACTGGCATCCTGGCATTCCCATCCCCCTTCCCACTGCGGCTGAGGAAGCCCATAGCATGGGGGGGGGTTGGCAGTTCCAAGCAGGACGTTTAGCATGAAAAGAACCACAAAAGAGGAGAAGAACCAAGGAAAAAAAATCAGATGCCTCTTTCCAGATAGTCCTCGATTTAACGATGCTCATTGAGCACACAATTATGGTCCTAAGTCCAGACACCAGTATGACTGGCAGGTAAATCGTTGGTTAAAATTGGTGGAAAATATCCCTGGGCTTGTTTTATTTCTAAAAGCTCCAAATGTCACTGTAAATCATTGGTTAAAATATCCCTGGGCTGTTTTATTTCTGAAAAAGCCCCCCCCCCAAAAAAGTAGCAGCAGGTTTTCATATTTTATAATTGCAACCAGGTGCCAAAGTCCCAGAGAGGATCTCTTCAACGTCTCTGCCACCTCCCCAGTCCCAACGATTCACTTCTTTGTCTTTCTCTCTCCTGTCCATCCTTCCCTCCCTGGCCCTTCCTTCCTTTCTTTCTTTTTTTCTATCCTTTCCTTCTTTTCCACCTTGCCAACCCGCGCAGTAAATGTTCAGAGTTGGAAGAAGAACTGAAGAACGTTACCAACAACCTCAAATCACTTGAGGCTCAGGCGGAGAAGGTAGGGGGGGGGCTCTCCCTGCTTAGAAATAAAATCTTGATGATGATGATTGGAAATAAAATCACAAATCCCTCTGTGGCCTTTTTGGGGGTTTTGGCTTCTTGGGTCTACTGAGGCAACAACCGTGAGTGACCCAATTGGGGTCAGCTGTTGGTTAATTGTGTTACCTGTACTTCGGCTGTTATAAATCTAACTTTCCATGGCTTTTTAATTTTATTATCTATTTTCTTTATATCATCTACCTATATCATCTATCCATCTATCATTTATCTATCTGTCTGTCTATCTCACATCTGTCTGTTTCTATCTATCTATCTATCTATCTATCTATCTATATCTATCTAAATATCATATCTGTCTTCTATCTATCTGTATCCTATCTATCCATCTTATCTATCTTCTATCATCCATCTACCTATCTATTTTTCTATCTTTCTATCTTCTATCATCCATCCATCCACCTATCTACCTATCTTTCTGTCTTTTATCCATCCATCTGCCTATCTACCTATCGCTGTATCCTATCTATCTGTCTATCATATCATATCTATCATATCTGTCTGTCTACCTACCTGCCTACCTACCTACCTACTATCAAATTTATTTGTCTCCTGTCTTACTCAGGATAACTGGGCAGCTTACAATATTACGAAGATAAAACTATATAAATTCCTAAGCTTCTTGTCTTTTTTAAAAATATATATATACTTATGACATGTTTATAGAGTTATAGGTAGTGCTCATTTTATGACCCCAATATATGTGGCTAAGCGATGGCGGTCATTAAATCAGTTGCACCTGATTTTACAAACTGTTTTGGTTGTGGTTGTTAAGTGAAGAACACAGTCGTTAAGGGACTCCGGCTTCCCTCATTGGGGGCTGAGAGAGCAGCTGAAATGTCCATATTTCTACCTGAGAGGCATAGAATAAACCCCAACATTACCTGGGTGGGCGTCTCTACCCCCAGCCAGGGACCCGACTTCTGAGGGATGATGTGCCAGTGTGACACACGCGGTTACGGCGGGATCTTGAGCATCTCTTTTTTCCCCTCCTGCAGTACTCCCAAAAAGAGGACAAGTATGAAGAGGAGATCAAGATTTTGACTGACAAACTCAAAGAGGTGAGTGGCGTGTGAGGCTGGATGTGTGGAGAGAGAATCTGGCTAATGGCGCAAAGCACAGATTTGAGTTTAGGGGGGGGCAAAGCCCAAACAGGACCAGATTATCTATTAACGCTGAATTGGAACCCTGACAGTGAGCACAATTAACCAGTGGAACAGCTGGCCTCCAGAAGTTGTGGATGCCCCAACATTGGGGGTTTTTTTCAAGAAGAGATTGGACGGAAATAGGATAGGGTTTCCTACTTGAGCAGGGGGCCGGACTAGAAGACCTCCAAGGTCCCTTCCAGGTGTGCTGTTCTGTAGTCCCTGATCAATTAATCAGTGGAACGACTTGTCTCCAGACGTTGTGGGTGCTCCATCCCTGGAGGTTTTTAAGAATGCTCTAGGGCAGTGTTTCTCAACCTTGACAATTTTAAGGCATGTGGACTTCAACTCCCAGAATTCCACAGCCAACACTGCTCTAGGGTTTCCTGCTGGAGCAGGGGGTTGGACTAGAAGACCTTCAAGGTCCCTTCACAACTCTGTTATTCTGTTTGGATCCTGTAATCACTTTTCTACCTACTGGTTTGAAACCGTCCCATAATTCAACCAAGAACCTGGTCACCTTCCACAACTAAATAGCATTCTCCTACCTTCCACAGGCCGAGACCCGGGCTGAGTTTGCAGAGAGATCAGTAGCCAAACTGGAGAAGACCATTGATGATCTGGAAGGTAAGTAATTCTGACATGGTGTCCATGGAGATGCTCGGTCATCCAAGGTCGTGGTTTTGTCCCAAAGGTGCTTTTTTTTTTGAAAAGTCAGCTGTTTTTCCATGAAGAAGTTTCGCTTCTCATCCAAGGAGCTTCTTCAGTTCTGACCGAAGAGTGGAGGATGGAAAGATTTGTATTTTTTAGGAGCCCTCTGGTTGTTAGGACTCCCTCCGAGAGTCGTGGAGGCCGTTTGGAGACCACAGATAAACCTCCAAGTGGCCTCAATGACTCTCAGAGGGAGTCCTAACGACCAGATAACTGCAAGGAATATAAATCCATCCTTCATTCAATCAGAACTGAAGAAGCTTCCTGAAGGAAGAGTGAAACCTCTTCAAGGAGAAACAAAATCCAGTTGGCCTTTTGAAAAAGCAGCTTTGAGACAATTAAGGCATGGGGCTTTGTGAAATTCAGGTTACCCCCAGAATTCAGAATAAGGGTGAAGAACAGGTGGTCCTCCAGATCTTCTCAAGCCTCAACATTTAATATCTATCACCGGGGCGCCTTAAGCTGCCGGAAATACCATATAACATCACATATATGATATCACAACATCTGGAGATTAATAATAGCCTTCTCACTTCTGATCCAGACAGTGTGCACACCACAGGCAAAACTTTACGTGAGCTCCATGGTTGGATCCAGATGCTAGACAGCCAGATGTTTACAGCCCGCTGTTTACGGTCAAGCAAGATTCCCGCAGTCTTCTTTAACCAGATTTATTGAAAGGGACTCAAGATTAGATTCCCGCAGTCTGGATATTTTTAGTTTAGCACACACGTGATCTCTTTGTTTCTCTCGAGAGATTTCGTGTCAACCACGCCTTGGTGCCTTAGAGGGAGAGCTAATTTTTTTTTCATAAAGGAAGAATATGCAAATATCCGACACCCATCGTACTTTGCAAAATTTCAGGCTCTGGGAAGCAGCGGGTCCCAGCTTCTGTTCTCACACATATATTTTTATATGTAAAATGGTCAAGAGAGTTACAAAGAGCTCATCTCTTGAGGCCTGAAGTTGTTCTGGGCCCAAACAGAGCGGCATTGTTTCCCTACGAAATTCAAATGAAGTGGGGCAGGGCACAATCTGGAAAAGAAAAAAAAAACTCAGTTTCCCTTTGCTGTGTGTTGCCAGCACAAAATAACTGGGGAGGTGACAACTTGGTTTTAGTTCTTATTTTTTATTTTCTTTCTTTCTGGACATGGGTGGGTCCCATATCATGGAGATAAAGTAGTTTTTTTTTTAATATTCGTTGCAGCCTTAGCTAAGTAGAGTAGAGTAGAGATGATGGAATGGAATGGAAGAATAGAATAGAATAGAATAGAATAGAATAGAATAGAATAGAATAGAATAGAATAGAATATGGAATGGAATGGAATATGGAATGGAATAGACTATGGAATAGAATAGAATAGAATAGAATAGAATAGAATGGAATATGGAATGGAATAGAATAGACTATAGAATAGAATAGAATAGACTATAGAATAGAATAGAATAGAATAGAATAGAATAGAATAGAATAGAATATGGAATGGAGAGTGGAGTACGGTAGAGTAGAGTAGAGTAGAGTAGGCCAAGTGTGATTGGACAGACAAGGAATTTGTCTCTGGTGCAAAAGCTCGCAATGTACACATAAACAGCAAGTTTTAAACAAATCTATGAAGTTTCTCTCCCCCCCCCTTCTCAAACCCTAGAAAATGGTAGTAGGATCGTTGCAGTTTCTTGAATGTTTGGATCGGGGTAACCCTTCTAGCTTGTCTCAAGGAAACCAACTCCGTTTGACCTTGACCCTCCTGAGGCCCCCTCTGTTCCCTCTTGTAATGATCTTCCCCCCCCGCCCCCAATTTTTTTAGATGAACTCTATTCTCAGAAATTGAAATACAAAGCCATAAGCGAGGAACTGGACCATGCCCTCAATGATATGACTTCCATGTAAATATCGACGTGTGCAGTGAGCTGGAGGGGGGGGGGGCTTGTGTGTTGGCCTTTTGTTGGGCATGCTGTGTGTGCTGGGGTGTGGGAAGAGCAGAACATCTCCAAAGCTGTGCAAGGTTTAGGGTTGGGGTGCCTTGAGTGACCTCTGCTCTCTAACTTGCAGTCCCGTGCACGATTCCAGGGGCCATTGAAGGAGACACCCCTATTATTTGGGGGCGCATGACTGTCCTTCAACCCTCAGTCTCAGCTTTGGGGGGGATATTAACCTCTTATTATAAGAGCCGCACGCCTGTGGGTCGTTTACTAGCTCCGCGCTGCCATTGGTTGAAGCATGGTGCCACGAAGCAACCGAAGAGGAATCGGGACTCTGATTTGGATGTCATTCTACGACAAACTTAGGATGTGCATGTCAAAGGAGACACACAACTTTGGGGGGGGGGCGACACGCCAGCATTTGGTAACACCTGACCACTAACTGGGTCATCCTTGACTTACGTCCACAATGAGCCCCACGTTTATGTTGCCAAGTGAGGAATTGGTTAATTTCTTTGTCCCATTTTACGACCTTCCTTGCCATGATTGTTTTGACTGAATCGCTGCAGTTGTTAAATTAGCCACCCGGTTGTTAAGTGAATCTGGTTTCCCCACTGACTTGGCTGGTCAGAAGGCCGCAGCATCCCGGGATCACGTGGTCCACTTTGGTGATCTCCTGACCAGCCACATCGATGGGGAAGCCAGATTCGCTTAACAACCGTGTTGCTAACTTGAACAACTACAGTGATTCCCTTAGCAACCGTGGCAGGGAAAGTCGTAAAATGGGGCAGAGCTGGCCTAACAAGTGTCTTGTTTAACGACAGAAAATTTGGGCTCAGTTTTGGCTGTACGTCGAGGACTGCCTGTATTGGAAATGCATGAGGGAGTATCTCGGGTTGGAGAAGAGAGAGAGTGAGGTTCTCTTCTCAGGACATCCCCTTGCTCCAGTGGGGAGTTGTCACTTTGTCAAAGCTGTGGTGCTGGGGTGTTCTTGGCCAAGTGCGGCTTGCTCGCGTCTAACTGTTTTCAGACCTCTTTGGCGTCGGGCAAAACCTTGCTCAACAATCTTGACGTTTCCACCGAGTGTTGGCATGGTTGTGTGAATCGGGCTCCTTTCTTCGCTTCTCTTAACCGCACCCGTCGTTGCCGCAGCACGAGGGTTGTGTCCTTTTTCTCGTTTACCTCGTCACTTGCTTGCTGCCCTAATTCCCTCCCCCCGCTTTCCCATCCAAACCTAAATCTTCCTTCTCTCTCTTGCACATAGATAAAACCGGTGATTCCAAAGCTCCGCTTAGCAGCTCGACCTGCAGCTTTCGAAGTCGCCCTTTTATAAAAAAATGTACACCTGGATTCTCATCTCCCTTCCTTCCTTCCTTCCTTCCTTCCTTCCTTCCTTCCTTCCTTCCTTCCTTCCTTCCTTCCTTCCTTCCTTCCTTCCCCCTCTAATCCATCCTTCCTGCCTCCTCTAATCCTTCTTTCCATCCTCTCCCCCCCCCCACATGCCCCACATCTCAGGTGCACCCCATGCCGGGGAGGGAGTGGGCGAGAAGCCTCATCCTTTGCACGAATGTCCACTCTCCAGCAGAGACAGCTGTCTGGTCTTGCACACCTCTTCCGAAACACAACCACCTTTGTGATCTGTGGACTTTCCTTGGGTGGCTTTATGGGGTGTGTGTGTGTGTGTGTTCTTCTCTGCAGAGAGTCCCCCACCTCTGCTCAGTAGCTTACAGCAGGAGGAGACGAGCGCCGCCGGATTGGGGCACGGCAACGGAAGTGTTGCAGCTGCGCACTGCCTGGGACACAACATGGTTTTCCCCTTGTACGACCGTTTCTGGAAAAATAAGCAAAATGCACTAATGTTGGCTTGTGTATCATTTGTTCTTCGGAATCCCCCAGACCTTCACTTCTTAGGACTGTGGGGTTGGGATGGAGACAGTTGCTCTGGATTTACAGGGAGTCCTTAATTTATGACGGTTTCGAGTTACAACAGAACTACTTTCAACCCGTTGGAATTAAAAAATTGGGTTTTTAATGCTTAGAGAAGGACCTCAAGATCAGGACTGTCCAACTTTTGGGGAGTGGGGGAATCTGATCTGTAAGACGGGGACCCCAACATAAAAGGGGACCCCTCTTTGGGGGTCCCGTTCAACGATAACAGACAGTCCTCAACTTACGACACACAACTGAGCCCCCCAAATTTCCATGGCTGAGCCAGACCGTTGTTAAGTGAATTTTGCCCCATTTTATGGCCTTTCTTTCCACAGTTGTTAAGCTGGTCACACGGTTATTAAGCAATAATAATAAAGTTGGAAGGGACCTTTGGAGACCATCTAGTCCAACCCTTTGCTCAGGCAGGAAAACCTATAGGGTTAGGGTTAGGTCACCATGAACTCGGAGAGGAAAATGGACATTGTCTTTGGAGGAAAATTGGAAAATTGACTTTGAAGCTCCAAATTGGCTTTGAAGCTCCGAATTGGCTTTCAAACTCCAAATTGGTTTGTAAACTCCGAATTGGCTTTGCAAGCTCTGAATTGGCATGGAACCCATAACCAAAGCATTTGACCTCAAACCAGGGTATCTCCTGATGTCTATTAGCAGCTGCATTTCTTCCTCCGCTGGCAGCCTGTCCTGGCTAATCCTCAGGCCTTAAATCATGTGAACAGGTGCCACATCCGCTTTTCCATTTATCTACAAAACGGTTCTCTTTTGGATTTCCGCCTTTCCTATATGTATATAGGAAAGCCAAAAGCACCAGCCTGAAGATGACAAATGGGACTTTGTCAAAACATCGCCAAGACACTTCCAGTTTTACGCGGGAGAAAACCCGAATAACCAAAGATATAAATATATTTATAAATATAAATATATTTATTTCCTGGTTCTCTCCAGCTGCCCCTTGAGAGTCCGAATCCTGATTTATTTGCAGTTGGAACCTGTCGGTGGGGAGGAGGGGCTTCTCTCTGGGGCTACTAACCTTCCCTTTTTCTTTCTTTTCCCTCCCTCTTTCTCTCTCCTCGTTCTCTTCCCCTCTTCCCCCATCGCTTTCTTCCTTTCGGGGGGGGGGGGCACCTTCTACCACCACCCCAGACCGGCTCTTCAGCCAGCTTGAGAAAAACCGGATGCTAGCTAGTGAGCTGAAGTTAACCTTGCATGATCTGAGCGATTGAAAAAATAAACAAAAAACACGGGTCCACCGATTTAATTTTTTTTCTTTTTGAACCCAAATTCCTGGGTGGCTGCAAGCTAAAAGGGGGTGGGGGAGACCTACCTCTGAAGGCCGAGCACCCCGTTTTTTCCCCACTTAGGGCGATTAAATGCTCGAGAACCCTGGAAGTTTCCACTCTTTATCGGCACATTTTTTTCTGAGCTGAAAAATTACACTAATCGCAGCCCGTTGGCTCTTAAAGAGACCCAATGCCTGGAATTAAGAGTTGTGTGTTCGAGAAATATTTCCTTCCTGGGGTGCAGAGCTTGCTAATGCAGGCCTTTTTTCACCTCCCTCTGTGGCTGCCTTCAAATTCCCCACTCGCCCACTTCATAAGCCCTTCCGCATTTTTCGCTTTGTCCGTAAAGCTCCGTTTGCATGGATCGGCTTGTTCACGCGGTTTTTCCTTCCAACTTTTCTTTCCTGTCTTTCAATAAAAAAACCACTGGCCCACTTGTTATATGCCTGGGGTCGTCTCTTTATTTCTTGGATGGCAAAACCCTGTCTAAACTGAAAGCCAGTGCCCAACAGGCAGGAAAAACAGAAACAAAAAAATCCTGGATTTGGTAGGAGGGTAGGTATCTCAACCCCCCCTGGCATCGGTTCAGCGGACAGGCAAGGATGATCCGTGGCTACAGGAGTTACGTCCGGTGGGTGATAACGGAAGCTGGAAACGGTTAGAGGCAACTAGTTGTATAGGAAGCATGGTTTATTTTATTTTTTTTTGCACTGGAAAAAAAAAATTCCTTTATTGCTTTAATAAAAGGCTGTTTTCACTTCTGGCTGTTTCGTTGTTTGGCCTGGACTGGATTCTGAATGGTATTTTCCTTCCTGCTTGCTACGGAGTTGGAAATTCTGGGGGAGCCCTATTTCTTCCCCAAATTCCTAGCAATTTCTGCTTTGCACACGGCAGGCTTTCGGCTTTGGTCTCGGAGGGTCACCGGGGAAGACTTTGGCCCCAGAAATGGAAGGTCTGAGTTCTAATCCTTGTCAGACAGACTTTTGGGGAGAATTTGAAATCGTTCACGCTTTCTTGGCTCAGCTATTTTGCAGGATCGAGGTGCCCCCGCCCCCAAATAGGAATTTAAATGAACAAACCATGATCTGGCCAGGCTGTCAAGGTGCCCTGCCTGATGTGGGTGTTCTTGTGGGTGTGTATGAACCTCAGTTTGCTTCCCCAAGGAAGACACGGATGATTTTATTATAATTTACGAGGATTAGTTTTTAAAAGGCCAGGAGGTAGGATCCTTTGTCCCTGCATGTTATCCTAAGCACCAGATTCTCTGCTGCTTTATCATTATTATTATTATTATTATTATTATTATTATTATTATTATTATTATTATTACTCAAAACTCCCTTTGCCCAAACGTTCACGAAAGCTATGCGTGGCGGGGATTTAAGAGGGCATGCACACCTCTTCCACAAAAGTGCAAGCTAAAACACCTGTGTTTTGTCACCAGAGCCACGTGCGGGCTGTGTGCATCACCCGAACCCAGAAATTGTTCACTTGTGGTCCCAGATTTGGAACAGGGTTTCTGGAGGAACCTGGCCTTGAAACCAATAACTGAGCTTTCAACATTGCCAAGAAAAATTGAAATGAGGGAGTCCTTGGTGCTGTCTGAGCCAGGTGGTTTTATGACCCAAACTAGGGAGGATCATCCATCATCATCATCATCCTAGTGGGGTTTGCTGCAAATGCTCCTTTTAGCACTGATGAGGTTACCTAGTTGGGTCGTGAAACGTCTGCAAGAAAGCCACCCGGCTCGGAGACCCCCAAGGACCCTTTGTTTCTCCCTCGAGCGACAAATACTCTCCTTTATTGGTAAAGATGGTTCCAAGTCTTTGTCACAAGCAACCGAGCCATTTCCCGCTGCAGAAATGGGCAGAGGAAGCTTATGCGGGTTGAGTTTTGCGGGGATGTTTTTCCAGCGCACACCACACATTGCTCTGCTTATCTTTGGGCAAAACAGATCGGCAACCGACGACCGCATGGGGTTATAAATGAATAAGAGAAAATCTTATTCATGGAGCAGGGGGGCAGAAGCACGACCCTCGCCAATTGAAGCTTTGCATTGCCAGGGGTGCCCCTATTTTTGGGGGGGGAGAAATCCAGAGAAAACGAAGCTCCTTCCCCCTTAAGCACAACTAACATTTTCCGTTCTTCCTTCCAGATAAGCTGAAATGCACCAAAGAGGAGCATCTGTGCACGCAGCGGATGTTGGACCAGACCCTGCTCGATCTGAACGACATGTAAAAGACCCTCGGCAGCCCCCTCCCCATTCCTTTTCTCCACCCCACGGCCCTCCTGAGCAGCAGTTCTCCTCTTTTCTTTTTTTTTTTTAAGGAGGGGAAAAAAGAACCACAAAATTGACCTCTAAACCCTTTTGAGGGGAAAAGTCATAAATTACATTCCTGATGTTTGGGGCCAATGTAGTTTACAAAAAACTCTGCCCTGCTTTTATTTTTATTTTCTTCCTTGTCCACTAGACAATTCCCAAATTTCCAGCCAGAAGGAAAAAAAAAAATAGGAACCCCTCCATGGAAAGATTTCAAGGGAGCGAGCGACTGATTGAAATGCACCTTTTTTAAACCGCGAGATTATGTGTGATGTGCATTTCGGTTTAACCAGCCTTCCCTTGCCGCGCGCGCGTGTGTTGTGAAGGCTCCCCCAGTGCTCAGCTTTGAAAGCCTGCAGCTTGATTGATGTGCTTGTTTGTTTGCCTCTGAATCGGATGGGGCCAATTCGATCGTCGGTCGAGTAATCGCAAAATGGATCCATAGAATAACCGCAAGTCCTATCGTTGGTCCGAAGAACCAGCCAAGCTTTGTAGCGTCCGCTAGCAGAGAGGGGTTAACCTCCGCAAGGAGCAGTCAATCCTTCCTTCTCTCCCTTCCAGTTTTTGAATATTTAGGTTTGGCCTTTTTTTTTTTTTTTTTTTTTTTTTAGGAATAAGTCGGGCTGAGGTGCTGTCTTAACCCTTTTATAACTTTTTTCCAGCTGGGGGGAAAAGAATGATGTTTTTTTTAAAAAATAAGCATAATCGGGAAGCGTGTATTTTTTTTTTTAAGTTTCCTTTTCTTTAAACCCATGTAAATCGTTCTGAAGCTCCTTTGCTTTCCTTTCTGCACTTAATTTCTCACACTTTGGGGAAAACACTATATCTGAATAACCCACGTTTTCTTCCCAATTAGGTTTAAGTTTCTTGGTGCTTGGTGTTCTGTGCATAGGGGTATTTGGGGGGGGGGCTTTAACTTTTTTGGGTGCTCCTGAATGTGTGTGGGGGGTTTCCCCTCCCTCCTGTTTCTAAGCCAGGAGCTGATTGTTCTGTCTTAAAAGAGAAACTGGATGTACGGGACAGCTCGATACTCTTGAAAATTGATCCCCTAAAGGCTGTGTTAATTTTTTTTAAATGCATCTTTGTACAGGCCTTTTGGGTATCATACGAGGAACACTACGCTGCCGTGGCTTTTCAGAGCCAGTGTGTGTATTTGAAGGGGGGGGGCAGAAATTTGGAAATTATATCAAGTGTTTTGATACTAAAAAAAAAAGCTTTGGTCTTTTATTGTCTTTTTTTTTTTTTTTGGAAATAATAAACACAAACATTCCCTTTGTCCCTTTATTTTTTTTACTAGGATTTTCACTGGTGGGGGCGTGGGGTGTGTGTTCAGTACAGGTAATCCTTGACTTAAATGACCAAAATTGAATCCCCAATCTCTTGTTCCTAAGTGAGATGTTTGTTAAGTGATCTTTGTCCCATTTTATGATCTTTCTGGAAACAATTGTTAAGTCAGGGGTGATATTTTTTAAGTCAACAAGCAGACTCTCTTGTTAAATTCACACCACCCACACAGGAACTCCAGTCAAGTCCAGGTACGTTGGTGGTTCAGCCCAACGCGTTGACTGTTTTATTAACCCAAGTTTTGGGAGTCAACATGTTGAGACAACCCAGAGGCTACCAAAGGCTGCCATTATGCCATAAAGGGTAGAAATTAATCCACCCCTTCAAATTTGGGGTCCATCAAGACCACAATTTCTAGACTGCCCAGATATTGCATTGAAGTTTTTTTTTTTTTTGCATTGCAAGTCTTGGCACCACCTCTAGGTGGCAGCAAACGCCCAGCTGCCCTCTCTCTGTCGTCTGCAATATTGCAGCTCAAGAGATGGCCGATCTCGTTTCACAAAACGCCTCGTCGCCCTTTCTGGGCAAATCCGATCAATCCCCAAGAAATCCGATCAGCCCTTCAAGTCAAATTCAGGAATTAAAAATAATAAAAATGCGCAGGCGCAAACGCGAGGAACCGCCTCCGTGTTTTAAAGGCGGAGCCGACCGACGACATAAAGCGCCAGGGTGGAACGTGGACACGTGGCGCATGCGCGTTAAGTAACGCGCGCGCGCGTGTGAGACAGAAGCAACGTTTCTTTTGGCCGCCATTTTTGGAGCCGCGGCCGGGCTCCTTTCGAAGATGAGGGCGGTTTCCCGGCGGGCTCGGGCTCCGCCGCAGCTTTTCCTCTTCGCCGTGGCGCTTCTGACGGGGCCCGCGGGGGCCTACAAGCTGAACGTGCCGAAAGTGTTGCTGCCCTTCAGCCGGGATAAGCGGGTGCCCTTCGTGCTGGGCGCTGAGGGGGGGTGTTATTCCTGGTGAGGGGCGGGGCCTCGCGGGAAAGGGACGGGCGGAGGGGTGACGTCACGGGAGGAGGCCGGGCGAAGACCCGGAAGTAAGCACCATTAGGGTGAAGCATGTTTTTGCTAATACAGCCAGAGGTTTGTGGGGGGGTGGGGACCTATTGCTAATTAATCCAACATTTTAAAAAGGCCTGCTATTATTATTGCATTCAGAATTGGAAAAAAAACTATTCATCCAAGATGGAAAAAGTATTAATTCATCCAGAATTTGTCGGGGGGGGGGGAATTACTGATATTGCTTATTCATCCGGAATTGGATAAAAAAAATCCCCTGCTGTTGCTAATTCATCCAGGATCGAAGAAACATTGTTACTAAGTCATCCATAATTGAAAAAAAAAAAACCTCTACCTTTATTGCTAATTCATCCAAGATGGGGGGGGGGAATTCTATTGCCAAACGTTAGCAAGCCTAACTGCATTAGAATGAAACGGGGTTGAGGTCAGTTGCCTTATTGCTAAGCAGAATGTGCCACGGAACGTTATTTGGCCATGGAGGTGTCTTTGTTCCTTAAAATACTGTTTGAAGGAGCCTGCTTTTATTACATTCATAAATGCATCCTATTTTTGTACAAGAGAGGAGTAACAGAGGAAACACCGACTGAGTTTTGACAGCAGCTAATGTCGTTGAGCTGGCTGACAATCAGACACCAACTCCCAAGTCTCAAATGCTGCTGCCTCAAATCCAGTCTGGACCAGCAGCTGCTGGGAAGACCAACTGGGGGGAGGATGAGGAGCTGCTGCTTGCAGAGGGAAAGTCTAAGCATGTTCTGTTCTGTCCTGTAGGTTCTCCACCCGCCATGACACGGTCACTATTGATCCAATGTATGAGAACGGGACAGTTTGCTCGCAGAAAGCGTTGCTCACCACCCGCTCTCTGCAGGCCACAAAGCTAGCCAGTGTGATAATAGCAGAGGAGATAGGTAGGTGGGGACCGCTTCAAGTTAAACAATTTGCACTGCTGGAGTCCAGGAAGAGAGCCTACTGCGCCCTGCCTTCTGGAATACTCTCCTCCAGAAGCAGGGCGGACCCCCCCCCCAGCATTCCCCTGGCCTTTTCAAAAAATCTAACGCTGCAGCTCTGCCCTCTGGGATGGATTACAGCAGGAATGTCTAAGACATTATCATCATCATCATCATCATAGAGTTGGAAGGGACCTTGGAGGTCATCTAGTCCAACCCCCTGCCCAGGCAGGAAACCCTATCCCATTTCAGACAAATGGCTGTCCCGTCTCTTCTTAAATGTTGGAGCATTCACCCTTTCTGGAGGCAGTTGTTCCACTGGTTAATTGCTCTCACTGTCAGAAAGTTTCTCCTTAGTTCTAGGTTGCTTGTGGACTTCAACTCCCAGAATTCCGCAGCCAGCATGGCTTTTAAGACGTGCGGACTTCAACTCCCAGAATTCTCAGAGGGGTGCCACTTGCTGGCTCTTTGGCCAACTGCAGGGCCTGGATGATGGGATAGGTTTGCCATTGTGTCCATCACCCCCTTCTGGGCATTCAGAGCAATTGACAGAAACCCATCAAGCGCTGCTTAGTTCAGCTCCGACTTTTTGCAAGGGGGGGGGGTCCTTCCCGGCAGGCTGGTTGGGATCTTCAGCATTCAGAGAGCGGAACAATGGAAAGTCGCAGACCTTTTGGGACCAATCCGCTTTCTCAGATCCTCTAATGAAGAATTAGAGTTCCTAACGTGAAATTCGAGATGGTTAAGAAATCATTTGTCTGGTTGACTTCAGCCACCTGTTTTTTGCTGTCTGGCAGCCGAGAGAACAGGGGACATGAGGTCGTTTGTTTTTCCAGTGACCGGCCACTTGCTTCGTTGTGACATCATCGTGGATCTGATTGAGCAGGTGGAAATAGTCTCGCGAACTCGGGAGATCTACGTGGAAGACTCTCCCTTGGAGCTGAGCGTGAGAGCTTTAGATGCTGAAGGTGCTGACTCAGATTCGGATCCTGCCCAGCCCGGGGATTGTCACCCAAACCCTTTCTGTAACCCATCTTCCTAGATAGCTGAAGCAGGCAGAGCGAAAGAAAATGTCTTTTCCGTGGTGTCTTTTTCCTCTTATGGCTTTCAGATCTCCCTGAAAGACCTGCCTGCTACCTGCGCTGTGGTGCTTTAGTACCAGGAAAAAATGCATTCCACCTGTGGGGAGGAGTGTAACAATTCAGCCACTCAGAACTAAGAATTGCCTGACAATCATCATCGTATCTACTCTGGCCCCAAGTCCACACCTGACTTTCTCTCTTGCAGGAAACACCTTCAGCAGCTTGGAAGGGCTGGAATTCGAGTGGAGCGTTGCCAAGGACGATGACATGGAAAACCTGGAGCTCTCGAAGAAAATCAGGTCAGGCAAAATCCTGAGCTCCAGGGCAAACGGACTGTACGACACCAGGTGGTGGCAGGACCCAAAGAGCAGAGCAAACTTGGAAAGTCTTGGCGTGTTTACCTTCCTCCTAACTTTGGAATAGATAGTAAACACAGCCACACTTTTTGTTAGGAGATGCCTACCATCCTGGGGGGGAAAAATCCTGTCTGTTAAACCAGGTGAAATTGGAGGTAGAATAGATGGATGGATGGATGGATGGATGGATGGATGGATGGATGGGTAGATGGATGGATGGGTGGATATAGACCAGTGGTTCTCAACCTGTGGGTCGGGACCCCATTTGGGGTCGAACGACCATTTCACGGGGGTCGCCAAACAACCAAAGCTGTGGTACTCCCTTTTATTCTATTGGCTTTTGAAAGCCAATAGGAATTGTCCAGGCTGTCTCTGCCCTGCTGAGCCCGCCAAAAGTCCCATTCTGCAAACAGTGCTACACCAGTTGAGTAGTCCTCGACTTACGACCGGTTGAGTAGTCCTCGACTTACAACCAGTTGGGGATTGCGGCATTAAAAAGATTGAGAACCACTGATATAGATAGATAATTAAACTGATTGCAGGACCTGAGCCTTTTGCCTCCTCTGAAAGCTGGGTTTGTTTCTGCTCCAGGATTTTAAAATACTCAGAGGCGGAATATTCTCCACCCGACTACATCGTCCAGATGGAAATGGAGGAGAAACAGGGCGACAGGATTTTGGTTTCGGGAATCAGAACCGGGGCAGCCGTCATCAAGGTCCGAATCCAGGAGCCTGTTTACAAGGTGGGTTCCTCCCACCCACCCAGCCACGCTTCCAAGACAGATGAGGGCACGGGGGTCAGTGGCAAGGCAGGGTCAGCCAGGCACCGACCCCCTCGGTTAAATCGAAGGTGTGCTTAAAACCCCTCTGAACAAATGGGGTGGCGGAAGCGCCCTCTCTGAAGTCTCTGCTTTGTTCCTCCCCCTCGCCCAGAAAGTTGCCGCGGCTTTGGTGCGCCTCTTGGTTCTGGAGAATATTTTCCTTATCCCTTCCTATGATGTCTTCCTGCTAGTGGGAGCTTATATCAAATACAGAGTTGGCAAAATAGTTCAGGGAAGGATCACAGGTAGGCAGCTTCTGGCCAGGTGCGGTTTGTTCGTTAAGCCATGGTTCAATCCATCCTGGGAACCCAGATCTCTGCTTGTGTGTTTTCAGGAGTGTGTTTTCCAACCTCAGAGATTAATTTAAAGATGGGTGGATTTCAACGCCCAGAATTCCCCAGCCAGCTGTGCTGGCTGGGGAATTCTGGGCATTGAAGTCCACAGATTTTGAAAGCAACTCAGGTGAATGAAAAATTGCCCCGGAGTTGTGTCTCTTGCAGATGCCACCTCTTTGAGGCTGGGCCTAGGTCGGAGGGGGCGAGATTTCTAACAAAAATGGCTGGGGGGGGGAAACAGCTGGTCTGCCAACATGATTAGAAAGCTCTCCGACCTCCTTTTCCTGCAGAGGTTGAGCTGCCTCTGGAACACTATGAGCTGGAACTGCAGGAGGAAGTGAAGGCGCCAAGTGGATTTCTTTTCCTCCCGGTGGC